GAAGGTTCCAGTGAGTTAGTATGCAAATGCTTTGTGAGCAGCAAGGCAGATGGGAGTGAGAGAAGGATGAACCCGACACCGCCACCACCGCCACATCTCACTGTTAACAAGGAAAGTGCGATGGCCACTGCCTATGACTTGTACTTGTTCTTGCAGACACAAAGGCAGCCAGTGAAGAATTCGTTCTGCGGATAGTGGCCCTTACCGAATGCGGAATAGCGTGCCTGCCGCTGAACTTTTTGATTGCCTGACTTTTTGGTCTGATTTTCGACCGCTTCCCTCGACCACCACCACCAACTTTTTCCCCTACAAACCTTCTACCATCCAGCCTTTCCCTCTTGCGTCGTCTGCTCTCGTTGCAGTCGGCTGCTGTTCTCCCTTTCTCCCCCAGAAAATATTCGTGAATCCACCAAAAAAAAGTGAAAAACCCCCCCTTCAAAAACCCAGAGTCGTGCGGTAAGTCATCCCGTTTTCTCACCTGCGCAACCCTTTTTTGGGCCTGCATGGTCCCAGAACCTGAAGAGGTAGAAAACAAGGTGAACGGCGTCTGACCCGGCATTCATAGTGCTCGACTTTAACGACATATCCCTTAAACCAAGCCATCATCAAGACATCGTGTCCATTGATCAAGACAATTGTCAATCCTCTCGTTCTTGTTACCTCGTCCATCAATACCACAATACTCGATCCGAGAAAAAGTGAGCGCCCATCTGTGCCCTACCGTCGCCGGGGCCATCAACCCTCCATCCCGCAGTTATTCTTGCCTGCGCTGCCCTCTACCCGATTATATTCTGACACTGCTTGACAGCGAAAATGTCTGCCGCAGACGTCGCTACTGCTACCCCGGCCGCTGGCCAGAATGGCTCCACCGATGCCCCTACCCAGAACGGCGCACCTGCCATCGACACCAATGTTGCATCGTCTGGTACCGCTGGCGATGACGCCGCTACACCCTACTCTGCCACACCCAATACCGCGCAACACTCGGCCTCTCTGTATGTCGGCGAGCTCGATCCCTCTGTCACCGAAGCCATGCTTTTCGAGCTATTTTCCTCTATTGGCCAGGTTGCTTCAATCCGTGTCTGCCGCGATGCTGTCACTCGCCGCTCCCTCGGGTATGCATATGTCAACTACAACAATACTGCTGACGGTGAGAGGGCACTGGAAGATTTGAACTACACAAGCATCAAGGGTCGCCCTTGCCGTATTATGTGGTCTCAACGCGACCCCGCCCTCCGCAAGACTGGACAAGGTAATGTCTTCATCAAGAACTTGGATGCGGCGATCGACAATAAAGCGCTCCATGATACATTCTCCCAATTCGGTAACATCCTCAGCTGCAAGGTCGCCCAGGACGAGCTTGGAAACTCAAAGGGGTATGGTTTCGTCCATTATGAGACCGCCGAGGCTGCCAACCAGGCAATCAAGTCTGTCAACGGCATGTTGTTGAACGACAAGAAGGTCTTTGTTGGTCATCATATCGCCAAGCGAGATCGTCAGAGCAAGTTTGAGGAGATGAAGGCCAACTTCACCAATGTCTACATCAAGAACATTGACGAGTCTGTCACTGACGACGAGTTCACCAAGTTGTTTGAGCCTTACGGTATGGTTGTCTCTGCCACCATCACCCGCGACGAAAATGGCAAAAGCCGTGGCTTTGGATTCGTCAATTTTGCTAGTCACGAGTCCGCTGCGAAAGCGGTTGATGAACTCAACGACAAGGAATTTCATGGCAAGAATCTGTATGTCGGTCGCGCTCAGAAGAAACACGAACGAGAGGAAGAGCTTCGAAAGCAGTATGAAGCCGCGCGCATGGAGAAGGCTTCCAAGTACCAAGGCGTCAACTTGTACGTCAAGAATTTGACTGACGATGTGGATGACGACAAGCTTCGTGATTTGTTCAGTGGGTATGGAACCATTACATCCGCCAAGGTCATGCGGGACACGGCCGAGCGCACCGCATCTCCTGCTGCAGACAAAGACAAGGAGAACAAAAAGGAAGATGCAGAAAAGGCCGATGAAGAGCCCAAGGCTGAGAGCGAGGTCAAGGAAGAGGGCAGTGACGATTCAAAAGACCCCAAGAAAGAGGGCAAGCCTGGTCAGAAGCTTTTCGGCAAGAGCAAGGGCTTCGGCTTTGTCTGTTTTAGCAATCCAGACGAGGCTTCAAAGGCAGTTTCAGAAATGAATCAGAAGATGGTCAACGGCAAGCCTTTGTATGTTGCACTCGCTCAACGCAAGGACGTTCGCAAAAGTCAACTCGAGGCTAGTATCCAAGCACGGAACACTCTGCGTCAGCAACAACAAGCGGCTGCTGCTGGTATGCCCCAAGGCTACATCCAGCCAACAGTCTTCTACGGTCCCGCTGGACAGCAGTTCCTTCCACCTGGAGCTCAGCGTGGCGGCATGCCTTTCCCCGGTCAGCCTGGGATGGTTATCCCCGGCATGCAAGGCGGGCGTGGACAGTTCCCTGGTGGGTTCCCACAACAAGGCCGTGGCATACCGCAAGGCCAGCAGCTTCCTCCCAATTTCGGCCTGCCTGGACAGATGCCTTTTATCCAGAACCCGGCTCTTGTCAACGGAATGTACAACAATCCTCAAGCATTGGCCCAGATGCAAGCTCAGATGGGTCGTGGCGCCGGTGGTCGTGGTCAGATGCAAGGCATGCAGGGTATGCCTCCCAATCTGCAGGGTATGGCTGGCGTGCGTGGCGGCGCGTTTCCGCAAGGCGGTCGAGGTGGCAACATGCAGAACATTCCAGGCGCGCAAGCAGGCGCTCGTTTGCCACCACAAGGCCGTGGACAGATGATGCCTGGTCGTGAAGAGGTCCCTGCTGGCGGCCTCAGCAATCTTGCGTCAATGCCTCCCAACCAACAGAAACAGATGCTTGGTGAAGCTATCTATCCCAAGATCCAACAGATTCAACCGGAACTTGCTGGCAAGATTACTGGTATGCTTTTGGAAATGGACAATTCCGAATTGCTGGCGCTGTAAGTTATCCATGATGCTCCACAGTGTTTCGGCTGGTGGCTGACTTTATTTCCTTCGCAGGATCGACGACGACAATGCTCTTCGTGCTAAGGTAGACGAAGCGCTCACTGTCTACGACGAGTATGTCAAGGGCCGTCAAACTGCAGGCGAAGGTGGTCCTAATGGCACAAAAGAGGAGGATGCGTCCAAGGCCGAAGGTGCCGAAGCGACGGCTTAGACGATGTTGCATGGACTACTCTTACTGTCTTAACACAACCTTTCTTTCACCCAGATTGCACAATCACTGTACTCGAGTTGGGGCAAGATGCCTTTCTACCAAAAGTTCTGATACTGCAGCATCATGAATGCTCTGCGATGTGGCTTCGGGACCATGGAGCTGGGCTTTGATTGCGCTGGCGGTGGTAGGCGAATGGCGTCTTTCCTCCTGAGCAGGTGGCTCTCGGTTGTGCCCAAGGTGGCTCGGTGATTATGAGCTTGTCTTGTTTGAGTGTATGATAGACTGGCGATATGCTTTGCCCCTTTGATTCTACGTGGGCGTGTGCAACCAAGTACAAGTAAGGCTATCTCCTTTGATACTTGCTTGTACTTTGTGTACCCGGGATCCCTACTGGAAGACCCGAGATAGGTTGCATTTCTGCTCTACATAGATAGATTCCCCCTTAATGAGAAGGCTCATTTGTTTGAACTGGTTGCTTTGCTTACTGCCATAAATGCTTTGTTTCTGCGACATGCTGCGGTGCCTTGTGGCCAAGACGGACCGTGGAGGTGGCGCAGTCTCCGAACATCGAACAATCTCGTTGACACTGCCATTTGGTTCGTCGACAAACGCCCTCCCTTACCTTCATGACGACGCTGTCAATGTGCGTCAGTGGCCAGGTCTCTGCGCTGTGGATTGTTCATTCCTGGACCGCGATTAACGGGGTGGAGCGTTGACAATTTCTCGTACCGAGTACACCTCACCGTCTTGCGCCGTTGAACCTTCTTCCATCCTCATGCCGTCAACTTGACGTGCTTCATTAAAATTGCCAACTTATAATTGCATCTGGGCCACCGCCTTTCACATCTCTTTCACCTATCATCGCCTGGCCGTCCCCCTTTTCGTATAGATCTATCCACGTCGTCAGAGGTGACATTCACGAATTCCCTCTCGTCTGACCCAACAGTTTTGCGGCAGCAACCTCTCCACGAGATCGGCTTTGGAAAGGAGAAAAGAGCATGGAACCCGGTTCAGGCACTCCATCGCCCGTAATCCTGTATCCAGACACCTTTGCATGGATGCATGTTGGGAGGAATTCCCTAGTCGACATCACAATTTGAGCACCTATCATCAAGCCAACTTCTGAACCGCCTATGCTCAAACGAGACATGCCACACTGGACATGTCTCCGGCCTTCTTTCCCGTTGAGTCCATACCATGGATGAAATAACCTCAACTTGGTTCTATAATGGACGCTTGCTGTTTTGTCTTGACTGTGGGGGGTCTGCCATTGCGCAAGTGGGATCTTCTGTGAAGTCACGGGGACAAAGGAGGAGGTTTTCACCAGAGATGTCTTCACCCATGACATGCCGAAGGAGCTTGGTCGGCGTGACGATCTCTTCACTTGCAAACTGGGGTCTGTGAATCCATGTCGACCATGTTCCTGCTCTTATTAGGAGACGCGTTCTTGGGCTGGCTGGAGAGAGCTCCTTGGAGCACGAAGGGTAGAGCATGACTTCAGGCTGTATGGACAGGAGAAGCCCAACTCGTCTTTCTGAAACAAAGGGCGGACAAACCCAATGGCCTCATTACATCGCGCCAAGTCTTTCACTGGCAAACACCGCAGCCTCGCACTTCACGACCAGAGCGCGGCGAGGCTGGAGACCGTGTTCAAAGGGTACGGCACGAAAAAGGGAGCTTCAACACTTCAAAATCCCTGCGCTCCTCCCCGTCACTTGCTACTCATCCTGGAAACCTGCCTCTCTTTCGCAACCCGTCGACAAATGTCATAGCCCAGGAACTCGTCGTTACAGCCATGGCAGAAGAAAGCCCTCTCTTCCTTCATTACTCTCCGCTCCCCAACCTGACGAGAAGCCCGGATGATGAAGTCCCGGGCTTGGTCGAGAGAGCGCAGAGCGTCGATGGTCTGGGCCCAGCCTTCGACAACTTCCTTGTCTCATACGAGCACGCCTTCTTTGACCTCTTTGACCGCCAGGTGGAATTGATCAAATCCCGTTCGCAGGCCTTTGAGGATGGACACGTCACGGTCTTCGACAAGTCACTTCTTATCCTCACTCATAACGGGCAACATCTCAACAACCCGGCAGCGATCAAATACTACTGCAAAGAATATCTGAACATTGATATTGACACCCGTGACGCTACCCACGCGTTGACACCAAGGCTCCAGCAGACCGTGCAACTGACCGAGGCTCTGCAGCAGGGTATGTTGATCCTAATTCCTACCCGTGACTACTTATCTGATGAACGCGTTTTTACAGAGCTGTCTCGGGGCAGGACCAGCACATTTGAGAAGGGTCCTGGGAACAGACCCGCCCAGTTGTCGCCTGTCGACCCACACCTTCGCAACGACATGGAACCCAAATTAGCAGTGTTGTGGTCCGTCTACGAAACTGCTCGAGCAGAGTATGAGGCCTTCGTCGACAAGGACGACAAAGACGACATCGATATGGCAGTCAAGAGAGCCAAGTTCCTGCGTGATACGGCCGAAAACATCCTCCTGTACCTCAAGAATAAGAATGCCGACCCTTCGATGATTGCAGAGCTCGAAAGCACATTTAACCATGCCAAAAACACTGCCGTCTGCTTGACCGGCGGCAAGAAGCGCAAATTCGATCCCGCAGGGATGGACAAGATCAAGGGTACGCCGCGTGGGCCAAGCCTGCCGTCCAGGAAAGAGAAACAACGTGGAAGCGGAGGCACAGATGGAGGGAATTACAAACAACAACAGCATCGGTATCAATACCAGCTTCCTCATCATCCTCATCCAGATGTCTCCAGTGGTCATGCTGGCGAGAACACGAGCTCCTACGGATGGGTAAGCTCTGATCTCCCCAGTGGACACGGTTACTCTCACCAGGCAATCCACCCTGACACTTTCACCTATTACGATCAAGATCCACATCATCTGGCATATGCTGGTGGCGGTGGTAGTGGTGGTGCGACAGCAACGAGCAGAGACCATCGGCACAGCTATGGACACGGCTATGACCAGGGGGAGGAAGACGAATACACCTCTGCTGCCGCGCCATATAACGCAGCCGTTTCCAGCAGTCATCACCGTCACCCCCAGGAACGTGTCCAAAGCGTCTCCCGCACTGGACCAGCCCCCTTGTTCAACGAGCCCGCTTCCCCTATGAGCATCGATCCTCGCGATATCAGAGACCACGAGCGCGGTGGAAGGAGTCCCAGTCCTAGGTCGCCGTCACTCAAGCGCGAACGCGAACGCGACCACGACCGCCACAGCCGCCACAGTCGCCGCAGTCGCCGGCACCGTGACCGTGAGCACCACCACCGTCACCACGGCCGTGACCAGCATCACCGACATCGTCGAGACCGGAGCCGTCGACGCTCCAGATCGCCCGTGATCGACCGAGCTTACGACCAAGCATATTCGCAAGCTCGACGCCACGAGCGCGAACTCGAACGCGAATGGGACCACGGTGATAACAGAAACGTCGACGCCAGGGTCGACGACTGGGCCAGGGAGATGACTAGAACCAGAACCAGAGCCGATGCCGGTGCCGGTGCCGGTGCCGGTGCCAGTGCAGGCGGCAGTAGCCGTCGGACAGTACCCATGGTTGATCATCGCGAGAACAGCCCCTTCTTCTACGGCGGCTATGGCGGCCATACCGGCCACACCGGCTACGGGATGTTGGATTCGTACGTGCCGAGTCGCGATCGCAGCCGCAGCCACGACCGCGGGCGACGTGGCTCTTGATGGGCATCCCTGTGAGAATCCAGGCCAGCATGTGAGCATGTAGGCGAGCAAGTGTTGTGAATGTACGGCGTAACAGCAGAACTGGGTCCAGATCCAAGTATGGATTCTATTTCTCCCCGGACATGACTGAGTGACCGAGAGAGCGAGTGCATGGCGTCACAGCAATAGACCAGGACAAAACACAAGGATCGAGGAATCGAGGAACAAGACTATCGCAAACAAATGGAACGAGAAAAGGAAAAGGAAAAGAGAGAAAGAAAAAAAACAAAAACAAAAACAGATGAGCGAGTATTGTGCAAGTTGAGACATTTGTTCTGGCTGGGTGGTGGGCAATAGGCGATGGACGATGAGTGATGGGCTGGGGAATATCATGCAGAGTCTGCTGTGCTTCAAAGAAGAAATCGTGTATCAAACATGGGTGGGCGAGAAGGAAAGGCCGTGTACAAGTTCATGAGCTGGTCAAATGGCATATTTCAGGTTCCATGTACGCTGCTCTCAAGCTAACATGGCAATATGAACGATCGGACTCGTGCAGCAAACTCTCCACCCAAGATATTACCATCGTAGCCACCATTCCCTGCCTCTGGCTTGCAAAATACTGCACACATGGTTAGGCATGGTCGTATGTGGTTGCGTTTCAGCAATCATGACCCCACCAGTATTACAAGATGCTATGTAGCTTCAACTCTCGACATTTTCGGTATGGCTTCAAGCTGCTGGACCACAACGGAGACACCATGTCTTAGGTCTGGCTGATGATGTCCACACTCCGGAGGCAATTCTCATGATTATTGACGGGTCCTGAACCCCCCGAGTATCCCATGCTAGGACCACATTGGAAGCCAGCCAGGGTTGGCGTGTTTGGCAAAGGCGTGTTCGTGGCCAACATCAACATGACGGAATCCTGGAGCGAGCTGGTGTCGACAACTCGGCCACCATGTGTTTCTGCGAAGGATAATATGGGGGTGCGGCCTCTGCGGCGTCGGAAAATCAAGGAGCGAGGCTGGCTCTCGGAATCACCAGGCTCGGAATCGTTGGTGCTCGAATTTGTGGATGTAGAGTCCTCGATGCGGGCTTTGGCAAGGGCTTTGCGCACAGTTTGTCGGAAACCACTGCGTGTGCTGGATGAGGGACAGGTGTAGTCATTGTGCTGCCGTCTTTCTGCGTTGTCTATCATAAGGAACGATCTTCTCATATTCCGATATTCGGGATCTGGGTGATCCACAACGATGTCGGGGATGCTGTGAAAGGACTGCAGGGTAGCAGGATCGGTCTGAGCGTAGAATCGAGGCTGAGGGAGTTTGGGCACACCCATTTTTGCAACGACACGGGCATCAGATACTCTGCGGTTTTGCAACTCCCAATCAGGTGGGAATTCGATTGGCTTGTTCAAGACTTGATTGAGAGACTGGTATGCGCGCTCGCGGTAGGTTGGCCGGCATGTAGGGCATATTTTGAAGGTGCACGGCTGGATATATGGCAGCCTAGCGTGCTGTTGGGGGAAGTGTGCTGGGGTCGAGGGTTGTGGTCGGGGAGTGGGAGGAGGGATTGATGGCTCCGACATCCAGACCTTTTGCAACTCTTTCCAGTCATACGCCGCCTTTATTTCTTCGTCGAGCTCGGTTGAGGAATTGGTCGAAAATGTAGTGCTCTGAGGCAGAGAGGCTACAGTTCCATCAGCGTCGCTGGATGTAGTAGACGCGGTAGTGAAAGTCGACGCCGTTGTAGGCCGGCTCTCATCCTGCTCTTGCTGGCCGAGGACAAGATCCCTGACCCGTTCCTTCTGCTCAATCAGCTTCTTGACTTCTTGCCTAGTATATTGACCTTGCCCAATGGCTTTGATGATTGAATTGCTGAGAGATTGATTGTTGACATCTCGACCGAGTGTTCGACCTTTCGGAATGACTGGTTCGTCTGTGAAGTCGGATTCGGGCAAGAAACCTCCGGTGTCTTGTGTACATCGATAGAGCCAGCCAATGTTAGGATGCTTATGGCACAATGAGCATTTGAAGGAGCCATAGGGGTCATAGAGACGGGTCATGGTCATGTGGGTGCACGGGTTGCGTCTCTCGGGACTGAGAATGTTTCGGCGGAGGAGAGGCATGGCGGGAGGAATGCGAGGCAATTGGAGTGCCGGGATGCATCACATTCAAACACCAGACAGACCAACCAGCGCAGAGAGAGGCTAATGGGCGAGGTGGTGAGAGATGAAGAAGTGAAGGGTTAAAGCCAACGATGGGATGGGGGGTGCAATAGCGGGAAGGAGCAAGCAGTGGTTGATTTTCACCAAGTCTCTCTCCTCTCCCCTGCGCGGCCTGATAGCAGCGCAGGCCCAGTCTCTCTTTACATGACTATTTATCTCATCTTCTGCTTTACCTTTTATCAATGTAGCTGCGACCAGAGGCACCAGAGGCTCACCTTGCTGTACATCTCGCGCTCTTTTGTGTCTTTCTCCCCTTACTCCGTCTCTGCATTTGCTCATCTACCGGGATCTCACAAAATCCATAGGCACGCCGAATACAGGTCTCGGAGGTGTTGGACATCTTAACCTCTGTTCAACAATATAGAGATGAAGTGAGAGGGTCTCCATTGAGGTTGGTCATCGCCATGTTTATGTCTTGGCAGCATGGGCGACGCTGAGTGGTGGACTTTAGGCCTGATAGAGTTGACTGGTTGGACTCGGTTGGCGCGTTTGTGCATCGAGATTGCCAGCCAGCCAGCTTTGCCAGCTCACTCACTCACAACGAAGTGCTCGTACCGAGAGCAATCATTATTCCTACTCCATCTCTCGGTCCCTTCTCCCCCTGCAGCTCCCTGCCACCCACAGACACCACTGACGCTACGACTGCCTGCGCTCTCTCCGTCCTCCGCCTCTTCCTACTCCCGTCCTCCCAATTGACTTCGTCCTCGGCCCGCCTCTTCTCACGGAGACGCGTTAATCCCCCCCCTTCACCTCCTTCTCTATCCTTCACAATCAAAACCTCCGATCATAATTCCTCCTGCCCACGGACCTTTTTCCATTTCTCAGAATCACGCCCGTAAGTATCACGTTCCCTCTTCCTAGCCATATCCACAATTTCAAGCCTCGCGATCCCCACCATACACCGGAATCCTTTGCAGGGCCTCGGCACCGATGTTACGTCTTTGTCAACAACTCATCCCGTCAGCGCGCTGATTGTGTCTACTTCTATCCTGCATCTATCTTACGCCTTTGACCGGACATCTGCTGACACTACCTACTACAGCATTCATTGCTTTACCTCCGAGTCTACTGTTTCCCTGAGAGGGCGCTGCCATGTCCGTCAAAATCGAGAAAGAGCAGGTCCGAACAACCACGGCGCCCGTCGCGCCTGGTGGTCGAGATGAGAGTACCGCGCATAAGATTGGCGAGGCCTTGACTGGTGGGAAACAACAGACAGGTTATTTAGCGGTTCGACTTCTCATCTCACGCACTCTCTGTCGAATGCGACACTTATTGCGCAACAGGCATACCTAAGACAGCTTCAATCGAACCCTCTGCGCACAAAGATGCTGACCTCCGGCACGTTATCCGCACTACAAGAGCTGTTGGCTTCCTGGCTCGCCCACGATAAGAGCAAGCATGGTCACTACTTTTCCTCCAGAATTCCAAAGATGGCGGCCTATGGCGCATTTATCAGTGCTCCGATGGGTCACGTCCTTATCGGACTGCTCCAATGGGTTTTTGCTGGTCGCACCAGCCTGAAGGCAAAGATTCTTCAGATCTTGACCAGCAACTTGGTGGTGCGTCCAACACATCCACATATCTCACTTGCAACGCTCGATATCTGACAACTTTTGACTTAGATTGCGCCCATTCAAAACACCGTGTATCTCGCCTCCATGGCCATCATTGCCGGAGCCCGCACCTGGCACCAAGTTCGCGCTACCATCCGCGCCGGCTTCTGGCCTGTCATGCGCGTCAGCTGGATTACCTCTCCGCTGGCGTTGGCTTTTGCTCAGAAATTCCTCCCCGAGCAGACCTGGGTGCCTTTCTTCAATGTTGTGGCTTTCTGCATTGGCACATATATCAATACTCACACAAAGAAGAAGAGACTTGCTGCTTTGAGGAAGAAGGTAGTTCTACTCGCTGCATTGGTGCTGTTTGAGATGTGGCTAACGAGATGTATAGCATTACGGTGACGGACGAAGCTCTTCGGGACGTCCGGACGAGCGATACTAGACGTTGTCCGCGCATCAATGGTCATCTAGCTTATACGACCGGCTCGAATCTTCATCGAAAAGCCAAAGTTGGGCGACCGGGGGTCGTTATAAACCCAGGAAGACATGTGAAGTGACGAGGGATCAAATCAAGGTGACTTAAATTGGGATCGTGTTCGGAATCGTCTGCAGGGGGAGCTCGCCAAATACCAACCGCCACATGGGAAATGTAGGTTTGTCGGTCGTCTGTGGGTTCCTTTGATCAGGTCCAGGGTCATCTGAGGAGGAGTACATTAATGCTTTTCGGGGCACCTCTTGAGCATGTGCCACGTTGCCACGTTTTATCTGCATCGGATGTTGAGACTCTGCCTATCAACGGTTTCTAGTGCCATACATAGTATCTATCATTTTTTGCAACAGAAACGAAAGAAATTGAGGACTCCGGGGTGTGCTGCCTAGTTGGTGTCATGTGTCGCGTTCGACTTGGTTGTTGAACCTGTCAGGATGTTCGACCATGGTTCTTTAGTCGTCGGTCGTAGAGCCTGATTCATTTCATGTTGGGAAGATGCGAGCACCCAATAATCCCTCGTCGTACTGTCTGTATATATTCCATTTGTCTCTAATTGTGCCAGCAACCCCGTCTACCTCGTATAGCAGTCCAGGTCGTTTTGGTGGGATGCCATTGAGCGGTTGTCTGTCGTTCTTTGCCGGCACCCACGCACTGACACACTCAGACACGCACCTAGATACGTAAATACCCAACCCTACCGAGATAAGTGCCGAGTGGGCGGCGCGTCGTCGGAGCATCTCATGTCAACAGC